AAATTTTGTGACGTATGTCCTCTATTACCATCCTTTAGAGGATGACACCAATATGAGTGACCTCATTGCAACTGAGATACTCCCAGGATTGATTGAGTATCTTCAACTATCATCTTCACGTTTTGGTGATGACACCTATCATGTGGGAACAACACCTAACTTGGTGACTTGTTCATTTGGTTACCATCCTCTCCATTATGTCAAGACCACCAACTTTGGTGACATATGTCCTCTATTACCATCCTTTCGAGGATGACACCAATATGAGCAACCTCATTGCAACTGGTATACTCTCAGGATTTATTGAGTATCTTCAGCTATCATCTTCACCTTTTGGGGGATGGCACCTATCATGTGAGAACAACACCTAACTTGGTGACGTATGTCATCTGTTACCATCATTTCGAGGATGACACTAATATGAGCGACCTCATTGTAACTGAGATATTCCTAGGATTGATTGAGTTTCTTCAACTATCATGTTCACGTTTTGGGGGATGATACTTATCATGTGGGAAAAACACCTAACTTGGTGGCTTATTCCTTTAGTTCCATCTTACATTATGCTAAGACCACCAGCTTTGGTTACGTATGACCTTGGTTACCATCCATTCAAGGATGACACCAGTATGAAGAACCTCATTGCACCTGAAATACTCTAGGATCGGTTGAGTATCTTCAGCTATCATCTTAACGGTTTGGGGGATGACACCTATCAAGTGGGAACAATACCTAAATTGGTGACTTGTTCCTTCGGTTACCACCCTCCATTCTATGTCAAGACCACCAACTCTAGTGACGTAAAAATTTTGAATCAAGCTACAATGAATCAATTTTTTTATATCATTTCTTTGATTCGTCTTTTATTAAACTCATTTCTTCTTTAATGTTTGTCCTTTTATTGCAAGACCATGGTATATTTCACAGGGTATTTCTTTCGGTAAGAAACACCTCATTATCTTAGCACATAAGAATCAGTCTATAAAAAGTGGAACCAACTTTCCAGTGGAGGATCAAAGTCTGATCAACTTTCAGGGTCATGGCCTCGTTTAGATGATCTCGCTCTTATGTCTGAGTGGTCTATGGAAAAGTGTCTGAGTCATGATTCGTCAAGCAAAACATGGATTTTCTAGTCTCCAATTCATAACGAGGTTTCTGATTAGGAGTTGGGATTAACATTTACACGTCGTATAATAAATGATGAAGTTCAATGAGGGCCTATACTGAAGATCCATGTGGAATTCTATTATATTGATTATTATTGGGACTGGTTAGAGGTTGTGGTTGCTAGTTGTAAGAAAACTCTTTGTGATGCTCATATATTTGATGCAATAATGGCTTCTCAATATACGTATGACCATAACAACGATGTGGTGCGAGCTTTTTGCGAGGCTTGGTGTCGTTCAACACGCACTCTACATTCTTCTACTGAGTAATTGTCCATCTCTATGGGATTTGTGGAAATTTGGAGGTTTTCCTATTATAGGGAAATTCTATGAGGAAGTTATTCCTAGTTATAAACAGTTGACAGAGTCTGGTAGGCAAGACAGTTGTCTCCTAAAGGGCTATCGGTATCTCTTTTAAAGTTTATTACATTCTGGCTTCGGCAAAGAATAGTCATTCTCATGTTGCCACCAGTTCTTGGATTTTATTCTGGTTCAAAGGCGACCTAAAGTATGTTAATCCTCTTGCTCTAAAGCAAGAAGGATGTCTCATTCCCGTTAGGCTTATAATCCTACTGGTACTTCATTTAGCGCTTGTGAATCGTCAAGTAAGGAGAAATGTTTGTTCTACGAACTTAATATAGATGATGAGTTGAGAGAGAAAACGCATCTAATTGCCTTCATATCCTGCTGGTTATGTTCCTTTGTGTTTCCTCACAAGAACCTCAACTTTCTTCACCTTGGAGTTCTCAAAATCGCTGGCCTAAGGGCCGACGGGTAACATATGAGGCCGTTTAATTTTTTAACTCATCTGGGCTAGGAGTAACATGAAGTTTAGACTTTTACGATCAAGTTATAAGCATATGTTACCCTATATCTTCCCATTTGGTGAATTGTGTTCAAACAACATCGACAAGAAACATAACCAGGCTAGCGATTTTGAAAACTCTAGGGCGAAGAAAGTTGAGTTTTTTGTGAGGAAATATAAAGGAACACAACAGTAGGATATGAAGACATCTAGATACATTTTCTCTCCCACTCATCATCTTATATTAAGTTTGTGGAACAAACATTTCTCCTTATTTTACCATTCACAGGCTCTGAATGAAGTATCAGTAGGATTATGAGTCGAACGGGAACGAGACGTCTTCCTTGCCTTTCAAGCAGAAGGCTTGACATAATTTAAGTCACTTTTGAACTAGAAGGAAGTACTAGTGCCAACATGAGATTGACCATTCTTCTCAGAAGCCAGACCGTAATAAACTTTGAGATAATCACAACTCATTGGGAGATATGTCTTTCCTACTAGATTCTATAGGAATAACTTCCTAATAAAATTTTCCTATAATCCTCTAAATTTTAACAAATCCCATAGAGAAATGGACAATTCTTCAGCAAAAGTATGCAGAATATTGGTTGAAGGGCACCAAACCTTGTAAAAACCTCGAACCACGTCGTTATTATGGTCGTACGTA